CAGACCTGTGTGCTGGTGCACTTCCCACTTTCTCCTGGTCTTGGCTCCAGTGTCACCTCCTGAGGGCCCCTCCCTGGCCATCCTGTCTAAGCTGTGTGTACTCCACACCCCGACACTACCGCTCTGCTGTCTGACGGGATGGGTTTGTTTGCTCATTGTGGGCTTCCCAGTGACAGTGTGAGATCCAGGAGGCAGGGGCTATTTATTTCACAACTGTATCTATGTGCCTAGGGCAGGAAGCTGCAATAAGTACTTGTTGAATGAGTTGAACAAATGTGTTGTCATCTTGGAAATTACACTATTACGGAGTCCATTTACCTATATGTTGCAGAACATTTGGGAAATACAGCAAGGCTGTATGAATGAAAAAATGAAAAAAAAAAGAGCGATCATCTGACTCACAGAGACAACTTTCTGGACACGTTTGATACGTGTATACGCCTACGTACATTATTACATAATGGTACATAGCAGACACACCTTTTATTTTCTAAAATAAGCCATCAGTTCATTTCATAAGTTGCTCTTTGTACTTTCTTACCACATAGTAGATAAGAATCAGGCAGAAGTAAGTTTGAATCCTGTTTCTGCAACCTGACTTTCAATGATTAAAGCTCTCTGAGCCTCAGAGTGGGGTGTGACCAGGAGTCAGGGCTCCGTGGTGGGACGGACAGTACTGGAAGTTCTGAGTAGAGTCTCGTAGAGCTCCGTGATTTTGAATGCGTCAGGGCTGCCGCCAGGGTGGAACAGTTCTAGTTCCACTGGGGACAACCTCATGTTTAGTTCTGTGTTTCATTTTGCAGTCCCCGAGACTATCTAGAGGTGGCATTTTACGATCCTAAACTCAAATCTATGGGAAGTAAGCCGGTTGTGTGATTTGGTTGATAAGCCTGGTGTAGGAAAAGCAGCTGACAGATGCGACAGGGCGTCTTTGTTTTGACCTAACGCTAAACTGGTACTGGAATTTAGTATTCAGAAATTAATGAAAGGTGAATTGAAATAAATTCTCTCGAGTACTTCACTTTGCATTTGGAACTGAAAATTGGATGCCTTTTCCCTCATGGCAGGTCTCCACCGCGCATCTTCTCTCTCTGGTTGCAGGGTACGCTACTGCGCTGAGCCTTGACTCCCCTAACGGGCACTCGTGTTTTGTTTAATTTTATAATAGAAAATAGCTGTTCACAAACAGAAGCACTTCCAAACTGGAGTAGAATGTTGACGTAAAAATACTTTCTATCCAGGGTGACTGTTTGTGAGATACTGGTGGAAATCTGAGATTGCTCGTTGATCATGTGTAGTTTTTGTATCATAATGCCCCGTGGTTTAGTAACTTCCGTTTGTACTTTCTATCAGTGTTAACTGAGCAAGGCAAACTGAACAGGGCACATCCTTTTCGTAAAGTTGGAAATGACCAAGTTTATGTGCCGGGGGAGTAGGGAGGCAGTTACCTCTAGTTCTACCATCAGTCTTTGACTTCTGCAAACTGATTGTAGCAGGGGAAAATGGGCCAGATAATTTCTCACCAAACAGGTTTCCTAAAGATAAGATTTCAGTAGGAATGAGTGAATTAAATAATACATTTGTGTGACTGTTTAAGAGTGACCCTTTCAATCAGTGGTGTTGAGAAAATGGATTTCCACATGGATTTCCTTACCTTACACCATATATAAAAATTAGCTTGAAATGGATCAAAGACCTTAATGTAAGAGTTGAAACTACAAAAACTTAGAAGAAAACAGTGGAAAAACTTTATGACATTGGATTTGGCAATGATTTCTTGGATATGACACCCAAAACACAGGCAACATAAGAAAAAAAATGGATTTCATCAAAATGAAAAACTTTCATGCTTCAAAGGACAGTCAGTAGAGTGAAAAGGCAATCCACAGAATGGGAGGAGATACTTGCAAGTCATATATCTGATAAGGGATTACTGTCTAGAATATATACAGAATCCCTACAACTCAATGCCAAAAAGCAGCCCAATTAAAAAATGGGCAAATGACTTAAATAGATGTTTCTCCGAAGAAGATACACAAATGGCCAATAAGCAAATGAAAAGAATTCAGCATGACTAGTTATTAGGGAAATCAAAAACCACAGTGAGATACCACTTCACACCCATTAGGATGGTTGCCATCAAACCTTCTCCCCCCAAAAAATAGAACACCCTTGAGAAGAGCGCATGTGCTTGAGAATGTGGAGAAATTGGAATCCTTGTGCCCTGTGATAAGAATGTAAAGTGGTGCAGCTAATAGGAAAAAGTATGGCTATTCCTCAAAAAATAATAGATTTTCTGTATGACCTAACAACTCCGCCTCTAGGTATCTACTCAAAAAAACAGAAAGCAGGGTCTCAAAGAGATATTTGTATACACATATGCATGACAGCATTATTCCTAATAGCCAAAAGGTTGAAGCAACCCAAGTGACCATCCCTGGGTCAGTGAATAAACAAAACTTGGTCTTCATACAGTGGAAATGCTGACAAAGAAAGGAAATGCTGACACCCTTCAATAGGACGAACCTGGAGGACAAGATGCTTCGTGCAATAAGCCAGACACAGAAGGACAAGTACTGTATGGCCCACTTACGTGAGGTTCCTAAGGTGGGTGGCTTGTGATGTCAACCCACAGGCCAAGTCTTCAGTGTTAGCTGGTGAGCCAAGGTGAGGGTTTTCCTAGATCCTCTGGTGCGCTGTTTCCAACAAAAACAGAACGCTCTCTTCAGCAGCATGCCTTTCGGCCCTCACTCAGGTCATGTCCTCCAGCAGACTGTTCTGGTATGCATCCATTTCACCAAGCAGAGCTTGACTTACATGCTGTTCAGCTCGGGGAGTGGATGTGTTTCATGGTCTTTGTTTCATTGCTGTTCCTTTCTTTAATGTCTACAAAAGCCTCATTCCTGGAGGATGATACTGTGGATGAAATGATAGGATGAATGGGCGTAAGCTTTACAGACTTTGCAATGCTCCATGGTTTCAGTTGAATAAAAAGTGTGACGTTAACAAGGATCATTGAGGGTCACATTTGCTAATTTTGACTAATCTACGTCAAACTTTTCACAGAACATAAGAGAGAATCATTTCCTAATGTTGTGCTCATCATGAATACTGTTTTCGTAAGTTCTTCCATCTCATGAAAATTCTCATCAGCTCCATGAGGAAATAGAGCTATCTGGGTTGTATTTATATCTCTGTTCTAATCAGCTGGCAATGGGAACACCATAAATAACTCGTCTTTTCCTTGCATCTTGTCCCATAAGTTCTCAGACCTGTCTTTACTACACTGAGCAACATCACTGTTTATAGTTTGATTTAAATTTGTCAGTGCTTCATTTTTTTTTCAGACACACGTTTTCTGCCATATCGAGTTATAAATTCACCATCTCTCACTGCTTGGGCACTGTACACACTTAATAAACTGTATTTTACAGAAGCAGTACTCATTTATGTTCAAACCCAGTCCCTATCGAAAATAGCAGTCCTTTCCAATTCATTGAGGTTTGTGTGTGTTTGTTTTTCTAGATCACCCACATTTCCTAAATAACTGCTCGTGGTTCTTGATGTAGCTGCTTAATAATAGCATCTTAAGCCATGTTCTTCCAATACAGGCATGCTTTGTGTGTTAAAAATGTAGGAATATACATACTTCATTACTGAAGGGAAACTTTCTGGAACTTGTGATCTTTATTTTTCACTTTGCCACTTTTTTTTTTTTTAAAGATTTTATTTATTTATTTGAGAGAGAGAGACTGAGAGAGAGAGCACATGAGAGGGGGGAGGGTCAGAGGGAGAAGCAGACTCCCTGCCGAGCAGGGAGCCCGATGCGGGACTCGATCCCGGGACTCCAGGATCATGACCTGAGCCAAAGGCAGTCGCTTAACCAACTGAGCCACCCAGGCGCCCTCACTTTGCCACTTTTGATTGAGATGTGAATAAGAAAAGATTGTGCTTTCCTTTTCAAGTTGTTTAACAGAAAGCAGAGCTTGTCCATCTCAAGCCCTGCAGGAGCAGGGAGTCGGGGGTGGGGGTGGGCGGGGGCGGGGTGGTGCGTGGCCAGCTAGAGCCCTTGCATCTGCAGGGTGCTTCCAGGTAGAAATTAGTTTTTATCAGAAATCATCTACCCACTTTTTAAATGTTGGTAATTCATACAGAGAAAAAAAAATCTAAACTTTGTGGGCCGAACAGAACCCAGTGAGCTTGTTCAGGTGAGCTCTCTCTTCAGCCCGCCCGTCTGCTGTTCCCTGCCTCCTGGCCGCCAGCGCCCTCGGGCAGCCCAGCAGCCTTCCTGGGGTGAGATTTAGATGAATCCTAACATTGCAGTCGCTCCCATAGTCTTATTGGTAGAAATTGAGGCTTCCAAATAAGAATATTACCTACTTTTTTCTAGCTTTCTTTTTAACGAGATCCTGGCCTCGCCGCTAGAACGTAATTGGTGGTGGGGGGGGGGGGGGGTTGATCCGTGCTCCTGCTGAAAGCACCAGCACCACCAGGACAGAGCCTGTTTTCACCAGTAATTACCTGGTTTCCTTTTTATTAAGTTAAAATTAGCCTGCAGTTCATTTACCATCAGTGATTCTTTACAAAGCACATGGTGAGTTGAATGTCTCAGGCTCTGACAAGTTCTATCTGAACTGAAGCACCTGTCATCCCTCTGGTGAATGGGCTAAGGGACGGTGCTGCTTGCCCACCACTGTGCATTGGATGGCCCCTGACGTGGGAATGACTGTGGGTTCGATTCGGGAATGTACCAGCTGTGTTGCAGGAGTAAATAGTGCCAGAATCCCTTCACAATTACAGAAGATACTCACGTTCTTTTTTTGGTAATATTAATTTGATAAACTAATTAGATTCTGCTTTGAAGTAATTCTCCAGTTACTGATCTTGACATATAAACTTCTGGCCCTGGTTTATTTTATAAACTGAGAAGTGAAACGTTGAAATGTTAAAGACTGAAAGGTATGAAATCATTGCCTGCATCCCCCCCATTCTCTCTGCAGGGGGGACGCAGCGCCTGCCACGCGCTATCGGGATGTCCCTGGCCAAAGAGCTCATCTTCTCTGCACGCGTGCTTGATGGCCAAGAAGCCAAAGCTGTGGGCTTGATCAGCCATGTTCTAGAGCAGAACCAGGAGGGGGATGCTGCCTACCGCAAGGCCTTGGACCTAGCAAGAGAGTTTTTACCTCAGGTATTGCTAATTACATTTCCTTTTTTTTTCTGTTTAAATAACTTTATAGCAAATTGACAAGACAGTCATCTCACATGCCTATGATGTGCTTGTCTTGTTTTCCAAGCAGAAAAGTACATGGTAGCCCTAACACCAGAAACAGTAAACTAGAGTAACAGGAAGGGCCTTCAGAATTAAAATTGAAGATCTGAGGATGATCTGAGGCTCATGCTGTACCTGGGCTTGATAATACATGATGCACACATTGGCACGTGTGACAGAGCTTCCTAGGAACTTACGTCATCAGCCATCCCACCCTTCTGACCTGAGCTGTGCACGTGGAGAGAAACAGCCATGGATGGGCTGTCACACTGAGTCACCCCCAAGCTGAAACCCACTAAAACTTGCGTCCTGGGGAGACCAGAGCCAATTACACCAGCATGGGCTCTCGTTGCCCCAGCTGGGTTTGAGATGACCTGCCTACACAGCAGTCGTTGTGTGTCTCCTTGTGTTCGTTAGAGGAGGAGGGAGAGAGAGAGAAAGGGAGAAGCAGGCTCCCTGGGAGCCCGATGCGGGACTCGATCCCAGGACCCTGAGATCATGACCTGAGCCGAAGGCAGACGCCTAACGACTGAGCCACCCAGGCGTCCCTCCTTGTGTTCGTTTTTATGGTAATATAGGCACTATTTTAACTCCTTTGTGCACAGTATTCTTCCCCACATTGAAACTTCCAAGTCTGGAATACACTGCATTTACTCACAAGTGACAGTTCTTATGAGTAATGTTAGCAATGGTGCATCATGGGGCCTGTTCCAGGGGTTTCTTGGTTCTCTCTTTTCCATGCATTTTCCAGATATTCCTTTCTTCTGAAATCACAGATGAGAAGACTTCCGCTATGCAAGTAATTAGTGATTTGTCTTTCTCCCTAGTGCAGTTTCAGGTTTTAGAACTCCCTCAACAGTACTGGAATCAGAGTTACTTCCTCTCGAACTCCGCTGTTTGATGCTAACAGGACTCGTAACCTGTTTGGGGGCTACAGATCCTTCTGGGAATCTCATGAAACTTCTCTGTAGAAAAGTGCATGTTCTCCACCTTTGTTCGGAGTTTGCATCCAGTTTCAGAAGGTGTTGTTAGAGTTTCCAGTGGCCAGACAAGGGCCCAGGTCCGTTGGGACTCACCTGTCCCCTGATTGCTGACAGGCGGGCCTCACCATGGAGTTGGTTCCTGGAACCACACTGCCTGGTGTTGATACTTCAGTCCTGCTCACTTAGCTAGCTATATGCTCTTTTAGGACATGGCTCTTACATAATTTGTTCCCCATGTAAGTAACGCAGAGCCCCTATGCTCTGAATTGATGGAGAGAGCAAATAGAAAAGATGTTTAGTGTTTTAAGGAAAAACAAAGAGGCTCTCACTGAAACTTTGGTATTAATATTTCCCCAAAATATTAGAGTAATGTCTGCCTAAAGAGAAGTTAAAGGTACAGGTATTGGGAGAAGCAGTGGTTTAACTAAATATTGACTTCATGACTTCTTTGGCTTGCAACTCTAAGACCAGTGCAGGTCTGCGTTGAAATAAGAGGTGTGTTTAAGAAAAGTCGTGGTATCCTTCCAGTTCTGAGAACTACAGCCTCTCCTGGTCTTTGGACTGGAGTGCTCAGTTCCCTGCTGCAAGCTGCATCCCTGGGCACATCTGTGCCTCGTCGATCTTTCTCCTGTGGCCCTCAGTGCCCACACCTCCCTACCTGCGGCCTGACAGCTGGCGGCACTCCACCGCGGCGCAAGCCAGGGCTGCCCCTACTGCCCGTCCCTTTTGTCTGGACGACCTGCCTCTGAGAGCATTAACCCCTAAACTTTTCCCCCAGGGCAAGGGAGATCCTGGTTGGTTCAGAAGATGTGTGACTGTACAATATGCCGGAGTTTCAGAGCAAACTTCGAGGGGCGGTCATCTTTATTTCTAGTTTCTGTCGCTGAATGATTACTCTTCCAGATATTAGAAAGCTCCTGTAAAATTAGCATTTCCATCTGATTTCTGTATTGGATGTTACTTCCATTTTCTTGTTCGAGAAAAAAATGTTGGTCCAGAAGAAGAGGTGTTGGTTTTGTATTTTGAAAGAGGCCGGCTAAATAAGCATTGCAGCTCCTAGCATTTCCATTTTCCTATTTTACCCATTTTGTAAGCCTTGCTGCCCAGTGCAGCCCAGGCATCCCTCAGGAGCGGGTCTGAGACCCGCTACATTTTCACGAGGGGCTGGGGATTTGTGCGCACATGCAAGCTGGACAGGCACCTTGTCTGGGTCAGCTGGTGGGTACAAGGGAATAGAGAAGACTCTCCCTGAGAGGAGCACTCTGTTTAAAAAACAAACAAAACAGATGATGATCTTGAAAACATGGTTCTAGTATATGCCCCACACCTACAGATCACATTTCGAGAATTCTAACAAAGATACTGTCTGAGCCTCGAAAACCTGTGGCCTCTGAAAAACATTTTTAATAAGTATCTGAATTAGGAAGAGAATTGAGATGGGTTAAAGTTGATAACTGAAGCCCCTGTATGGGAAAAATGGCATTTTTCATGCCATCAGGCATTTATTCATTCATTTATTGGCGTCCTAGAGCCTATTTTGCATTTTAATGCAAAAGACACTTGAAAAGATACCGTTGAATTCTAACTCATGACCCATAAACAGTTTTTAGGAATCTAAAATGTGATCAAGCAGCTAAATTCTATCTGGAGCATTGTGGTTTTCAAAGACGACAAAAGTCTTGTTCTCCTCCCAGAGGGCACCCAGTTCTTTCCTCTGTGACCCTCACAAATCCTAAAGGACTTCTCTGGGCTCTAGGCTCTTGTGTGGTGTGGGAGCCCTGGCTGGAGGGCACGTCTTCACCCATACATCCTCACTGTGCTTCGTTCCGGAAGCCCACGGAGGACAGGCGCAGAGCTGGTGTTGCCTCCTCACCAGCCCGGGCTCCTGCCCGGCCGCTCGTGGGTGTGGTATCGCACCAAGCACAGCATCTCCTCTTCCCTGCTTCACTTCTGGGGAGATGTGCTGGGGAATGGTCAGCCGTCTCCTGGGCACGCAGCCCCGGTGACGTGCAAACACGCAGAGTGGCCAGGGCAGTAGACCTTGCGCGGCCTTGGAAAATTTCCCATTAACTGTCCTCTAGCTTTTGTTGCTTCTTTGCCATGGTTCCAGCAATGGGGATTTCTGAATCTTACTGAGCTGTATAACATAATTTGCATAAATAGTAATTAAAATCTATTTCTCTAATTGAATTTTAGGGACCCGTTGCAATGAGAGTGGCAAAATTAGCCATTAATCAAGGGATGGAGGTGAGTGCCTTAATATTTGAGTTTGTTGTTGGAGGAGGTAGTGGTTTTAAATCTAATTTATTTTTTAATGTTCTAAAATCCAGCTGTTCCAATGCTACTATTACCACAAGTTACTGGGGGTTGTTTGTTTGTTTTTTGTGTTTTGTTTTTAGCTGCATTATTGATTTCATTCTGCTTAGGCTGTTGTTGATTCAGTATCTTAATCAGAGAACTCAGGAATTTCACTGATGTCCTGCAGCTTATGACATGCTCACTGTTTTTGCCATTCAACTAATAGATTTATTGGCTAGTAGTTCATAGAAAGCCAAAAGAAGAGGTCATTCTGTGTATTCTCAACACCAGCTTTGCATTATTAAAGAACATTCGGAGGAGAACTTCCGGCTCAAAGCTGAGCCAAGCTCTCTCCACCTTTAACTGCTCAACGTGCTTTGTGCAGGGAGCCCGCATGAACAAGGCGAGTCTTTAGAGTGTCCTGGGGTTCCCCTGAGGAGCTGTTTTCTAAGGAGGGGAAGCCCCGGGCCAGGAGAGAAGTAGGCAGGGCAAGGGAGCAATACACACGCCTGTGTACGCTGGGCTGTCATGACCCCAGTTGTGTTCTTGTTAAATTAGGGAATTTTGAAGAAAGATACTTCTTCCATGCAGACTCAGAGGCCACCATATCTTCATGGGCTTCACAGCAATAAAAAGAGGTTGAATTTGTTAGCAACAAACACAGTTTTAAAAATTTACGAAGTAGTTAAATGGTTTTTAAAAATTCTAACATAATTGTAACAATTCTAACAGCAAATGCCTTATGTGATCCATACTACGTGCCAGGCCATATATAGGGGCCTTATAAAGGCTTCACCTAGATTATCCCCATTTGATAGATAATACAGTTAGCCTCTCATTCGGATGTGCCTCTCTGAGGTACAGAGAGCATAACTAACTTAGCCAGGCTTCCACAGCTCCCACGTGGTGGAGGCAGAATTTGAACCCAGGCAGCCTGGTTCCAGACTTCTCATGCTGGTCATACTTCCGATTTGCTGTATTACATCAAAGGATTCTGTGCTTTTGGAGAAGGGTTACTAGTTTGAATTTATATTGAGTGTTCCATATTTTAAAAAGTAATTTCAGCTGAAATTTAATTATGTTTTTATCCTCAGGTTGATTTAGTAACAGGATTAGCCATAGAAGAAGCTTGTTATGCTCAGGTATGTAATGCAACTACAAATTCAGCAAGGATGCCTCTTACAAATTGTGTTTACCTTCTGTATAAGTCAAATGAATTATATATCTCTGAGCAAGATTACACTCATACCTCTTCTAAAATCATACAAATGGGTTGAAATTAACTGTTTTTGCTATTTGACTATTACCAATTCTTATTACTGATTCTGTTCCATATACTAATGTCTCTTGTCTACATAATTTAAAAAACTCTTTATTAAGTTAGTACCACTCATGCTGTATCTGTCTGTCTGGCTCATGTTGTATTTATGGGTGTCGATTTAAACCCTCACTCCAGTGTAGACGGGTGAGAGGAGGGCAGTGTGATGAGTGTGGGCCTGCTGAGGAACATCAGTATTTGAGACTCACTGGTTCTGAGCCTTCCCTCCTGCCCACTGAAAGTTCCCTAATTCAGTGTGTACAGTTTTCTGTTTTGTACACAAATTAGTAGGACTTTGTATAGAGGAGTAAATCTCCCTTTTTTCTTTCCTTCCTTGTTTTCTAAAAGACGTAACTTCATTTAGGGCATCCAATGTAGCAAAAGAATTTTGTTCTACCTTTTGTGAGAATTGAAAACTACTCCAGCTCCCATTAAAGCATGGCAGTGTCATGAATTAGGAGGGACAGCTAGAGTGTTCCTCTGTGCCTGGTCTGTATGTATGAATTGCCACCTGTTGTTGATGAGCACATGCCATGAATGAAGTAAATTACACACTTCTTACAAATGGACAGCCTTAGAGTCCAAAGAAAAATTTAAAAAGTATGTTTGGCCATAAATCATATCTTATGAAATGTGAAGGAACAGTAATCATAAGAAGCATTTTGTCAGACCACAATGGAATTAAACTAGAAATCATAACAGGAAGATAGCTGGGAAATCCCACCTATTAATGGTGGGATTAATCTTTCTAATGCAGGTTAAACAACACATGAATCAAAGAAGTCTTAATAGGAATCAAATATTTTGAATTAAATCAAAATGAAAATACAACTACCAAAATTTGTAGGAATTTATTGAAAGCGCTGCTTAGAGAGAACAGCATTTTAGCATTAGATGCATATATGAGAGAAGAAAGATCTGAAATCCGTAGTAAGTTTCCACTTCAGGAAAGTAGAAAAAGGAGAGCAAATAGAACTCAAAGTCAGCAGAAGAAAAGGAAAAATAAGCTTTAGGACAGAAACCAATGAAATTGGAAATAGAAAAATACAAGGAAAAAGTCAACAAAACAAAACAAAACAAAACAAAATGGCTCTTTGTAAAGATCTATGAAGTTGACAGACTTCAAGGCAGGCTAACCATGGAAAAGTGAAGATAAAAATCACCAGTATCAGAAATGCAAGAAAGGCCATCCCTAATGATCCCATGGACATTGAGAGAATGATAAACGGATACTGTGAACAACTCTGCCTACAGATTTGATAACCTAGGTGGAATGGACCAATTCCTTGGAAGATACAACATACCAAAACTCACACAAGGACAAATAGATAATCTGAATAACCCTATGTTTGTTGAAGAAATTAAATCAATAATTAATAAACTTCCAAAATAGGAAGCACCAGGCCTAGACGGTTTCTCTGGTGAATTCCACCAAACATTTAAGGAAGGAATCATGTCAATTTTTAGTGATCTTTTCCAGAAAATAGAAGCAGAAGGAACCCTTCCTAACTCATTCTGTGTCGGTAGTATCCTGATACCAAAACCCAGCATTATAAAAAAGGAAAACCACAGACCATTATCTGTCATAAATTAGTAGATGTAAAAATTCTCAGCAAAATATTAGCAAGTCAAATCCAACAATGTATAAAAAGAATGTTTAAAAACAATTTCAGATTGATTTGTATAAAATGTATGTATACAATGTATAAAAAGAACCAAATGGATTTTTTTGTAGATATGCAAGCCAGGTTTGACACTCAGAAAGCACTGCAATCCATCACACCAACAGGTTAAACCGGAAAATCAGATGATCATATCAATAGATCCAAAAAAAGCATTTGACAAAATCCAACACCCATTCATAAGAAAAACTCAGCAAATTATGATGGGAGATTCCTTACCCGATAGGAACTTCTATAAAAGAACCTACAGCTAGCATACTTAATGGCCAAGAACAGGGCAAGGACATCCTCTCTCACTTCTCCTTTTCAACATCTACTAGAAATTTTAGCTGATATGATAAGACAAGAAAAAGAGAGAAAGATATACAGATTGGGAAGGAAGAAATAGAACTTCATAGAAGATGTAATTGTCCATGTAGAAAATCTCAAAGAATCAAGAACAAAAAAACACTAAGAAGTAGTTAGAGCAAGGTTGCATGATACAAGGTTAATAAACAAAAGTCAGTTGCTTCCCTATATGCCAGCAATGAAGAATTGGAATTTGAGATTAAAAGCATAACATGATTTTCATTAGTATAAAAAATACAAATGCTTAATGGAGAGAAACTACAAAACTGTTGAAAGAAATTGAGATCTAAGTAAATGGACAGATAGACCATGTTCATGGATAGTAAGACTCAGTATTACTAAGAAGTTACTTCTTCTCAATTTTATTTAGAGAGTCAGTACAATCCCAGTAAAAATCTCAGCATGTTACTTGATCTGTGTCGACAAACCAATTCTGAAGTTCATATAGAAAGTCCAAAGACTTAGATTAGCCAGTCCAGCTACTCAGAAGAATAAAGTTGGAGGACTGACACTACCCAACTCCAAGACTTACTGTAAAGCTACAGTCATCAAGACAGTGTGGAGTTGACGAAGGAACAGACTGTTGGATCAGTGGAACAGAATAGGGAGCCCAGAAGTAGATTCGTGTAAAATAGTCATATAAGTAGACTCATAGAAAATAAAATGGCCTTTGACAAAGGAGCAAAGGCAATTTGGTGGAGAAAAGATAGTCTTCAGAACAAGTAGTACTGAAGCATCTGGGCATTTGGCGACAAAAAAGTGACCTTAGACACTGACATTACACCCTTCACAAAAATTAACTCAAACTGGACCATAGACCTAATGTAAAATGAAAACCTCTGAAACATCTGGAAGATCACATAGAAAATGTAGGTGTTGTTGGGTTTGGCAATGACTTCTTTAAGATGTAACACCAAAAGTATAATCTATGAAAAAAAAAAAGTGATGTTTCACTTCATTAAAATTAACAACTTCTACTCTGCGAAAGACATTGAGAAGAGGATGAAAAGAGAAGCCATAGGCGGGGAACGGGTCTTTGCAGTACACAACTGATGAAGGACTTGTATCTAAAACAGACAAGGGACTTTGAAAACTCAATAATAAGAAAACAACCCATTAAAAAGTGGGTGGAAGATTTGAACAGATGCCTCACCAAAGTAGATACACAGATGGCAAGTAAGCATAGAAAAAGATGCTCCACATCATACGTCATTAAGAAATGCAAATACAAACAAGATACCAATTTGCCCATTTCCTACAAAGCTAAGCATAATCTCAGCACATGATCCAGCAATTGTACCTCTATGTGTTTACCCAAGTGTGTTGAAAACATATCTACACAAAAGTCTGCACATGGTGTTTTAGCACCTTAGTTCATAACTGCCAAACTTTGAAGCAACCAAGATGTATAGATGAATGGATAAACTAAGGCACATCCATACAGTGGAGTGTTATTCGGCGACAAAAGGAAATGAGCCATCCTGCCACAAAAAGGCATGAAAGAACCTCAGGTGCATACTACTAAGTGAAGGATTTCCATCTAAGAAGGTTATGTACTGTAGGATTCCAACTATATGACATTCTGGAAAAGGCAGTAGGGGACAGGGATGAGTAGATGGAACATAAAGGATGCTTAGAGCAGGGAAGCTATTCTGTGGGATACTGTAGTGATGGATAACATGGCATTATGCATTTGTCAAAATCCATGATATATACAACATAGTGAGCCCTGCGTGAACTATATAGGCTTTAGTTAATAATAATGTATCAGTATTGGTTCATCAGTTGTAACAAATGTACTTCATTGATGCAAGATGTTAATAACAGGGGAACCTTGGGAGCTTGAGGGTATCTGTGGGAACTCTGAACTTTCTGCTCAATTTTTTGTAAACCTAAAATTGTCTAAAAAATAAAGTCTGTTGGCTTTTTAAAGTACATTTGAAATGGGGGGAAGTGTATTTGGAATTAGAATGTAAATTTGGTCACATAATTAGAATTGTTCAAATGATGAGTAGATTTCAAAATTTTAGATGGCCTTCCAGTTAGTTTTTGTTGTTGTTTTTTTTTACATAAAGCTTGTTAAACTTTTGTAGTTGTTTTTACTTTTTGGTATAGGTAACGTAATGTTTTGTTTCTCTAGACTATTCCAACAAAAGACAGGCTTGAAGGTCTTCTTGCTTTTAAAGAGAAAAGGTCCCCTCGCTATAAAGGAGAATAGAAGACACAGAAATCTTTCAAATGCCAGTGTAATAAATGTACCTCTGGAAGTATCTTTCAGACCCATATATGCCTCAGCACCTGGAATCCCAGTGACCAAAGTGAAGAGCAAGTTCTCTGCATAGTGAATTAAGCATCTGTGTACTTTGTTCAAATGTGCATCTTGTCATATTCATTCAGATTTATAAAGCTAGTAGTGTATACTGTCAAAAACAGATTCAAAACTAGGTACACGTTTTTAAATATTTCCTGCATATGAGGCTTTCTGTTCTTAATTTTTTAATGTGAATAATTTATATATTACACATCCTAGGAAATAATATTGATTGTATGGCTACTGTGCTGTAATACGAAATAAAATTATTTCTATATACCAAAAATGTGAAGTTATACCAAATAAAGTTTCTAAGGGATTATACGATACATCCACCCATACATACATCTCAAACTGAAAAAGGAATTGATAGATTCTCTGAGCGAAAATTACCAAATATAAATAAAACTGGTGAAAAGAAAACTTGGAAATTTTTCTCTTACCCCATTCTCTTGAACCGAATAAATCATTGCATGTTGGATTTTAGAAGAAGCCATCTTTGCATGCTGATTCTGTTAGGTCACCTCTGTAGTCTTAGGATAGTGTGGATGGGGGGAAATGAGCCCGCTCAGACTGGGGCCCACAGCCTCGGGAGGCCAACAGGAGGCCTAGAGCGGGTGTACCTGTAAGATCGCCCAGCACGTGGCCTGGCTGTTGGTCTAACTCCTGAAGAAGCTGGTGCTGCCAGTGTTGGGCTGTCGAAATGGCTTGGGGTCATGGATTCGAAGTGAGGTGCAGCCTGCTCTGCTTCCTGCCCCCAGCGTTTGCACCTGGTTTCAGTAAGGAATGGAGGTGGACACAGCCCCCCTGTCTCCCTCTCCTAACCCCGGGCCAGGCAAAGTGACTAGAAACAGAGGGGCTCGGGGGCACGTCTGAGTTGATAGCCTCGCCCGGGGAGGGGACAGATAGGAAGTATGCGGGACTTAGCTGTGGGATTCAGTGTGCAGCGTGGAGAGATCTTTACAGGTCTCCGAACAGATTCAGGCTAGCTTTATTTTGTATTTCGTCAGACCAGACTGCCTTCTGAGGCTGTGTCCAGGGCTGAGTCTCTCAGCTCTGGGGAAGCCCCGCTTTTCTGGGACCTGCACCTCCTTATTTGTGGACTGTGGGGGTGCCCACTGCCCTCCGAACAGCACAGCTGTGCTTTGTTGGAGGGAAGTGACATTCGGCATGGGGATGACTGCCTGTTCCGTGCATTCCCACACTCAGCACTGCAGCTTCCTTGCTCTTGGAAAGCACATAGACTTTGAATTTTTAAAAATCACCGAAACTTTTTTTTTTTTTTTACTTTGAGGAAATTGAGCTCTCAATCTCAGTTTGAAACCCCTTGGAAGAAGCAAGCTTGGAGTCGCCGTCTGCTGATGCCCACCATGCCGGGGGCGGTCATTGTCATCACCTGCGAGGCAGATCCTACAGACTTATGGCCAAGGCCCAGCTGAGTGGCTTCCTGGGGAAGGGGCTCACTAAAGCCCACGTTCATCTGCTGATTCCATCTTGGGGAGGTGCATGCTTTGTCTTCTGATAAACTTGTGCCATTCATTTCATGCAGGATGATTGATTTGCAAATAAAGTGCTGGCCCTTGTCTTCATAGTCCTTTAAAGATTTCAGGGCCATCTTTTCTGCCTGCGACACATTCAAATGCCACTTCCTTTTCACTGCACGGGAAATAATTATGTTAATGGGGAAAATACTAAGGGTGTGCTGGATGACTTGTCTCTCCTCATGGACGCATAGTCTGTTGCTGATGGAGTATCACTGAATGTCCTGCAAGTTCTGATTAAGTCACTGGAGCGTATCCGAAAGCAAAGACATCTTCCCGTTGTGACTTCAGAGATTACGGACCTCTGTATTAGAGCAAGGGGCAAGTGTGCAGACATCTCCCTTTCCCAGGGTCTTTCCTTTGGCAGAGCGGCCTTGCTGGGCGTGGTCCTGATGCTGGGCCCCGGGTCGGGTGGCTCTTTGGGGAGAGGACTGCCCGCATGGCTGAGCAGCTGTTCGTGTCGCCCTCCAGCACACTCTGCATTCGAGCGTCCTTACACCGGAGTCATGGCCAGCTGATGCAAGCTGGCAACACGGTGGCGATCCCCACGCATCCCGATTACATTGCAGAAGACCCGGAGGGAGGACGCTTAACCAAGCACAGTTCCAGTTCAGGGGAAAAGCATTTCACATCATCTCAGAGCAGGTGATCCCCCGGCCCGCAGTATGGGAGTGCCAGTTAATTTATCACTTCTCTCTCAAAGAAGAAGAGGCCAAGTCACAGAAACTCTGGGATGAGTAGGGCTGTGATAGCGGCCCAAAGAAGACTCAGGTTTTCTTGACTCATTTCTGTGATTTAAAAGGTCATTTCAAGTTACGTTGTGTTCATTAAAAAATAGATGGTTTTCCTTAGCCCTTTCCCCTCCCCCCACCTTCTAGCTGTCAAAAACAGCTTGTCCCTGAGTGTCACTTTCCTGGCCACACCTTGAAGAGAACTCTCTGTAGGTGGACTGGAACAGTGAGGTGTCACTCGGCGGATGACGTGCTCAACAGCAAATGCTTGTGTTTGGTGCGGGCTTGTCCCTGGCTGGCCTGGCCATTGACCCTTTCCCTCACTTGACCACAACTCTCCTGGTCCTCTAACCGCTCTGATCTGGGGTCCAAAAATCCTGGCAGACAGATGGTCTTTAATATTTAATCATGCTGCTATTTCTTCGTCTACCCACCAAGTTAAATATTAACATCTGTGTCAGCATTATTGGGCCTTATCAAAACAGCAATGAAATTGTTTTTTTACATTAAAGAATAATGGTACATTTGTCACAAAAGAAGAAATACAGAATTTTGCAGTTACTGGGTTATCTTTTCGCAAAATGAGAGCCACTTTTCTTCATAGGTGACACAGGCTGCAGGTTGTGTTTGGGGGTGCTTGGGGTGTTAGGGATTGAACCCTCTGCTCAAAATACCTGTGGGTCTGAGGTGCTCAACACCCGCAGTCTCCAATAACATCTTTTGGACTTTCAGAGTCCTTCTCGTGGGGAGCCTCCCAGAATCTAGCCGCCCCTTAGAGGGTTGGCTCCCAATGCTCAAGCCCTTGGTGTGCGGCCTTTGTTTTTCAGATGAATTCTGAAGGCAGTGTGAGAGCAGGGCGCCTGACGGGGAGAATTGAGGACGCCGAGGACAGCCCAAGACACGTACCTCGGGTGGTCGGGGCCAGCCCTCGTGGTCCCCATCCACGCAGCGCGAGCCTCGGGATGTAAGGTAGGAGGACGGCCGTCCTCAGTGAGCTGACTCTTCCCTGGGGGCAGCAGACTGAGCTCAGAGCCACCAGCGTGTCGGTCCCTCTATAAAGTACAGAAAACACTGTATTCTGAGTCTGTTTCGGTTCAAGGGGACATGGACAAGATCCCAGAAGATACAAATATGGATAAGAGAACTTGGGCACCATATGCGAGGCCCCGGACTCTCCAGCTGTTTCCACGTGCTGTTGTGTGGAGTCTTGGGAGCACCCAAGGGGAGAGGCGCTGGTGACTCCGGGGGCAGAATCGGGAGCACAGAGTGGTGGCAGGGGGGCAGCGGGGCCGGGAGCCGTCCCTGGGGCCGCTGACCTGGCCGTACCGGTCAGCCCACAAACAGCTGGCGTGTGCATGCGTGTGTGTGTGCGTGCACAAGCCTCTGCCCTGGTTGGTTCAGTGGTTTTCTCATGACTTGGGGGATACCGAAAGTGTGCATATCAAACGGTCTGAGGACAGCAGGCTGTCTGCCAGCTCCGTGCTGCGTCCACATCCAGTACCCGGAGACCTTAGGGAATGGGGTTCTCAGCTGATAGGCTAAGAAACTGGAAGGCTGGATTGGTGGCAGGCGTTCTGTTCGGAGCCCCCGAGGTTTCATCACTGCACCATTTTGGACCCCAGATGGTATTGGGGTACATGGGGCCAGCCTTGGCAGCTGTGAGCGATGTATCACCTCCCCCTAACCAGCTACTGGAGTGTGAGTTTGAGGTCTCAGACCCCGTGGGGGTCAAGAGCACCCTGTACTTTGGGGACAGTGTCGTGAGCGTCTTGCTCTCTTCTGCACTGGTCAGACTCACCCAGTGTCTTGCATTGAGTTCCAATTTGGTCAGAGGTTCACTCTGCTTTTCTGGATAGCACACGGGAGCTCTTTGACCAAATTTCTTCTGAAATCAGTGGTGAGACCAACCTCAGGCAGAGCATCTCATGCCTCTGAGCCTGTTTGTTCATCTGTGAAAGAATCCGGTTGCTGCTCCTGATCAGTTGCAAAGACAGATTGGACGAGTCTGTGCAGAAGGGCTTTGTGGGCAGAACTGTCTTCCACAGATGTGGTGGTGTTTTGTTTGCTTCATTTTTCAGAAGAGACGGGCTGGGACAGGGAAGGGGGTTCAGGAGTGCGTGTAGAAACCTGGCTTTCACCCAGGGAAAGAGAAGTGGGGGAGGGCGGGTCGCTAGCTGTCTTAAGTTAGAACTGCAGTGTGGTACTGGGGCCTCGCAGGCCGCCACAGGCCAGGGCAGCCACGCCTTCCCCGGCCCCAGTAACTCTTCCCCGGGCTGTTCTGCGCTGTCCACACGCTGACCTGAGGACCGTTGTCAGTGGGGGAAGCTGCGGAGGCCCGCCCAGGTCCAGCCGCGGAGGTCGAAGCAGAAGGTGGGCAGTCGGGGCAGGGCCGTGGGCAGGCAAGGTGGGGCAGAGGACAGCTCTCTAACTCAGCCGTGCTCTGTCCCCAGAGTCCCCCAGATGGTGCCTCTTCCGCTCTGACGTGGGCCGAGATGTGAGATACACGGCTGCCGGGATTGCTCACCGGTGGGCCGGGTCAGAAGAGGCACAGAAAACAGTACCCGCCTAAGGCGGACCTGAGGTTGAGAACCACTCTGTCCCTCGAGCAGTAGATCCTGTAGCATTTCAGGAAAAGGGATCATCCTGCCCAAATGCCCTGTTCACAGTGCCAGTTTTGAGGGCTGGGGAGGGACAGATCCCTGAGAAAGGCAGCCCCTCTCTCGTGCCCTGTTGGCTCTCCCCTGGCTGGCACAGAGGAGGTGCTGGGGGGCTCTGGCCAAGGCTGTGAGCCTGTGTGGCCAGCCCAGGAGCAGGGCAGGCTCCCCGCACGGCCATGGCCCCCACCTCACTGCCTAGGCGTGGCCCAGAAGCCCCCCGTGTGCAGGTTCATCAAACACGGTGAACCCATTTCACAGAGTGGGATCGAACACTGCCGATGAGGGAAATAGTGGCATCACCGTGGCATCCGGTGACGGCCCGGGGCTGGACTCCTGTCGCGGTAATGCCTACTGGCAGAGGGTTCGGAGGAATTTGAAGATGGGCAAGTGCCCTCTCCTGACCTTTTAAAAAATAGTCAGATCACTTTCACTTCCAGCCTCTGAGCTGAGCTGAATGAAACCTTTGTGTCCTTTACAGAAAGTGAAGAGCGGGTTGGCCAGAGAAGTTCAAACTCCTCACAGCGTCTCTTGGATTGAGTCATCGTTCTTTTGAGTTGTCTATTAACACTTTCTGGAAACACACACTTTTCATGAAGCTCAGAACTTGCTCACAAGTGGCCCTAATTGGAGCGCTTTAAAAAATACAAGAAATGTGTGACGTGCCGTACATGACAGGAAGTGTCAGCCCCCAGCTGACTTGGTGGAAAGGTACGCGGATGGCTGGACAGCTGTGGCGGGTGTAGTGGTCGGCGGCTCTCTTAGATGCTGGCACGCACCAGGAAAAGGCACTTTTTCTCCCTCCGGTCCTTGTGGGCGTGAGATTGTCAAACCACTCTCCTCAAAAGACCAACGGTTTGATCCCGTTCCATCTCTTGTGCTGTACTCCCGAGTTCAGGGAGAGTGTGATCTCTCACCGGGCTGTGCGTATGTGAACGTGTTTGCATGTGTAGATAGGAAAATTTGTGTTGAATTTCCCATCAAACTCAACAGAACTGACAGTTTGAATTGTATCCGGTGTCCCCCAGGGATGAGCTAGTGTTGGAAAGTGAACATGAGGAGGAGTGTCCTGGTGAAGGGAGCCAGGGAAAGGAGCTAAGTCCTGGCCTGCGACAGGTCCTCCTTCTCTTGCCCCATGACCTCCAGCAGATGCAGAATAAAGGCTACATGTAGAAGAAAAAGACCTCATCTTGTCTGTCACACGTGAGAACAGTTCCCCAATCCTGCTGGCACTTGGAAGAGTTGTGTTTAGGATGCATTTTGGGGGCTCGATTTCATAACGTTTGAATGGATTCTGGGTTTAGAGCCCCAGCGTCAGATTTGAAGAAAAAGACACCTTTGTGATTTTTGTGCATTTTTTCATCTTATTTTTTTTTAAATACGTAATTTACATACCATAGTAGTCACCCTTTAAACTGTACAGTTCAGTGGTCTTAGTGTATTCACAGAGTTGTACAGCCCTGACCACTATTTAATTCTCGAATATTTTCATCAGCCCCAAAAGAAGCCCCGTACTCACGAGCAGTCTCTCCCACTTGCTCTTCCTGCCAACCTCTAGCGACCACTTATCTACTGTCCGTCTCTGGATTTGCCTATTTTACACATTTCGTATAAATAGGTTTATATGATATGTAACATTTTATGTCTGGCTTTCTTCATTCACTGTAATGTTTTCAGTGTTCATCCATGTGTAGTATGTATCTGTACTTCATCCTTTTTATGGCTGAAAATGCTCCATTGTATGTACACACCACCTTATGTTTATTCAGTCATTAGTTGGCGAACTCTTAGGTTGTGTCCACTTTGGGGCTATTATAAATGATGCTGCTATGAACATGCATGTACAGTATTTGTGTGGATATATATTACCATTTCTCTTAGGTGTTTACTCAGAAGTGGAATTACTGGGTTATACGACCACTTTATGTTTAACTTTTCAAGGATCTGCAAAAGTGGTTTCCAAAGCAGCTGTACCATATTACAACCCCATCAGCAACATACGAAGTTCTAATTTCTCGGCACCCTCACCAACACTTGTCACTGGCTTGTATTTTGATTACAACCATCCAGTAGGTGTGAAGTGGCACCTCATTGTGCTTTTGATTTGCATTGTCTTAATGACTAATGATGATGAAGATCTTCACATGTGCTTGTCAGCCATTTGTAGATCTTTTTTTGGGAAAATATCTGTTCAGACCCTTTGCCCATTTCTAATTGGGTTGCCATTTTATTATTGAGTTGTAACTGTTCCTTATATATTGGGGATACAAGTCATTCTGGATACAAGTATCTTATTGGATGTGTGATTTATAAATCTTTTCTCCTGTGGGTTGTCTTTTCACTTCCTTGATGGTGTCCCTTGAAGCACTAAAGTTTGAGATTTTGATGAAGTTAAGTTTATTTTTTCCTTTGTTGATTGTGCTTTTGGTGTCATATCTAAGAAACCATTGCCTAACCCAAAGTGGTAAAGATGTGTTTTTGTCTAAGTATTTTATAGTTTTAGCTTTTACATTTAGATTTTGTATCTATTTTGGTTAATTTTTGTGTGTGGTGTGAGGTAGGATCCAACTTCTTCCTTTTGCATGTTGATATCCAGTTGTCCCAGCACTGTTTATTGAAAAGACTGTTCTTTCTTCTCTTGTATTTTCTTGGTAACCTTGTCAAAAAGGTTAATTTCTAAACTCTTCATTCTACTCCATTGTCTATCCTTTTTTTTTTTTTTTTTTTAAAGATTTTATTTATTTATTTGAGAGAGAGAGAATGAGAGAGAGCACATGAGAGGGGGGAGGGTCAGAGGGAGAAGCAGGCTCCCCGCTGAGCAGGGAGCCCGATGCGGGACTCGATCCCAGGACTCCAGGATCATGACCTGAGCTGAAGGCAGTCGCTTAACCAACTGAGCCACCCAGGCGCCCACCCATTGTCTATCCTTATGCCAACATCTGCTGATTCGAGAATGCGGTGGTTATTTTTTATTCTACTGATACGTTATTACCTTAATTGACTTTCAGATATTAGACCAACCTTGCATTCCTGGGATAAATTGCTTGGTCATGATGTACACTCCTTTTTGCTGGATGTGGCTTGCTAATATTATATTCAGGATTTATGGGTTTATGTTTAGAAGGAATATTAATGTGTAGTTTTCTTTCTTATGATGTCTTTCTTTCTTTGGGGTATCAGGATAATACTGGTTTCATAGAATGATTTAGGAAGTGTTCCCTTCTTTTTTTTAAAAAAAAAAAAAGAGTTTGTGTAGGATTGGTGTTAATTCTATTATCATCATTTGGTAAAATTTATCAGTGAGACCATCTGGACCCGGGCTTTTCTGTGTTGGAAATGCTTTGATTATGAATTCACCCTCTTATTTTACCTCTATACAGATATTCTTTTTTTTTTTTTTTTTTTTTTTTTTTTAAAGATTTTATTTATTTATTTGAGAGAGAGAGAATGAGAGACAGAGAGCACAAGAGGGAAGAGGGCAGAGGGGGAAGCAGACCCCCGCTGAGCAGGAAGCCCGATGTGGGACTTGATCCCGGGACTCCAGGATCATGACCTGAGCCAAAGGCAGTCGCTTAACCAACTGAGCCACCCAGGCGCCCTCTCTATACAGATATTCTATTTCTTTTTGAGTCAGCTTCAATACTTTGCTTCTTTTTAGGAATTGTAAATTTCATCTGGGTTATGTAATTTCACATACAGGTGTTCACAGTCCTTATTTCTATAAGGTCAGTAGTAGTTTTCCCTTCTTTCATTCCTGATTTTAGTATTTCAGGCTTCTCTCTTTTTTTTCATTGCCCATCCAGCTAGGTTTGCCTGTTGCTTTTCAGAGTCAACTTTTCATTTTGTTGTTGTTTTTTTTTCTCTATTATTTTTCTATCCTCTTTTTCATTTATTTCTATTCTAAGCTTTATTATTTCCTTCCCTCTACTTACTTTGGCTGTAGTTTGCTCTTATTTTTCTAATTTCTCAAGGTAGAATGTTAGGTTATTTGATGTGAGATCTTTTTAATATGGGCATTTACAACTATACATCTCTCTCTAAGCATGCTTTATTTGCATCCGTAAGTTTTTATATGTTTGTGGAAAAGAGTTAACATAACAGGTCAAACTACTATCCTTGGGAAGGGCTGACTGCAAGATTGGCCCCTGGCCTTCATTTGGAAACTTAGATTTGGGGAAGTTCCCACCATTTCCAGAACTGATAAGAGTTATGCCTGCACTGTACAAACAATATGGTTTATGGTTTCCTTTTTGGAGTATGGAATTTGGATATCTATCAAGCAGAGTGTGCCTGCATGTCTAGCCCCCGCAGAAACCCTGGGCTCTGAGTCTCCAGTGAGGTGTTGACAACACTTCACACATCTGGTTATACTTTGTTGCTGGAGGAATTAAATTCGTCCTGTGTGCCTCCACTGGGAGAGGACCTTTGGAAGCTTGCAACTGGTCTCCCCTGATACTCACCCCTACACCTTTTCCTTTGTTGCTTTTGCTTGGTATCCTTTTGATTGTATAATATGTCATAACCATGAATAGACTGTATGCTAAGTGCTATGAGGCTTCCTAGTAAATCACCAACCTAAAGGTGGTTTGGGGACCCTAACACATGTGGTTTTGTTTTCATTCATCTCAAAGTATTTTTAAATTTCTCTTGTGTTTTTTTCCTATGTCCTTTTGGTCTTTTAGGACTGTGTTCCTTAATTTACATATACTTGTGAATATCCCAAATTTCCTTATATTAGCAATTTCAAATTTAATTACATTGTGGTTGGCAAATGTACTTCAGTCTCATCATTGTATAATTTCAATCCTTGGCAAATTTTAATGAGACTTTGTGATCTAAAATATGATCTATCCTGGAGAAATCCCATGTGCATATGAGAGGAATGTTATTCTCCTGTTGCTGGGTGGAGTGTTCTATTAAGTCTGGTTCATTTGTAGTCCTGTTTCATTCTTTTTTTTTTTTTTTCTTTGAAGATTTTATTTATTAGAGAGAATAAGCAGGGGGAGGCACAGAGGGAGAGGAAGAATCAGACTCCCCACTGAGCAGGGAGCCCGATGCGGGACTGACCTGAGCCGAAGGCAGATGCTGAACCAACTGAGTCACCCAGGCACCCTTCATTCTTTTATTTTTTTTTTATTTTAATTTTTTTTTAAGATTTTTATTTATCCATTTGAGGGAGAGAGAGTGAGTGAGAGAGAGAACACAAGCAGGGAAGGGGTGGGGGAGGAGCAGAGGGAGAAGCAGACTTCCTGCTGAGCAGAAGCCTGATGTGGGGCATGATCCCAGGACTCAGGACCACGACCTGAGCCAAAGGCAGACACTTAACTGACTGAGCCACCCAGGCGCCCTTGTTTCATTCTTTTATTTCCTTGTTGGTCTTCTACTTGTTCTATTCATTATTTAAAGTGAGATAGTGAAGCCTGCAACCACTGTTGTTGAATTGTCTATTTCTCCCTTCAGTTCTGTCAGGTTTTGCTTCATGTATTTTGAGACTCTGTTGTTATGCATATGTATTCATTATTATTATGTCTTCTTGATGGATTAATCCTTTTAGCATTATAAAATGTGCTTCTTTGTCCATAGTAGCTGTTATTTTTTTTGAAGTGACATATATATTTAATCATTTCACATTATAATATAAACTTACAATTAGTGTTGGCACCACCAACAGTAAATTTGGTCATCTGTCTTCTGATGTACATGTAGCTGTTATTATCTTAAAGTCTGTTTTGTCTGATATTAGTATAGCCATTCCAGTTCTCTTAGTTACTTTTTGACGATATATTTTGTCTATCCTTTTGCTTTCAACCTATTTACATCTTTGAATCTAAAGTGTATTTCTTGTACACAGCATAAAGTTGGATCATATCTTTTAATTAGTTCTGCCCATTCTGCCTTTTGATTAGTGTTGGACCATTTACATTTAATGTAATTATTGATAAGGTAAGATTTACATCTGCCACTTTGCTATTTGTTTTCTACATGGCATGTCTTTTTCCCCCTCTGTTCCTGCATTACTGGTTTTCTATGTTTAACAGGTATTTTCTAATGTACCATTTGAATTTCCTTATCATTTCATTTGCTATATATTTTTTGACTTTTTTGGGGAATTACAATTAAATCCATCTTAACTTATAAAATCTGTTTTGGGTCAATACCAACTAATTCCACAGACTTTACTCCTGTGTAAGTTTGTACCCTTCTGCTTCCTCTGTGCTATTATTGTCATAGGATTTAAATCTGTATGCATTATAAGTCTGTGAGAACAGCTCTATAACTATTGTTTTACACACTTGTCTTTTAATTCTGATTGGAGGCAAAAAAGGTAAAGATGAAAAATACATTTATACTGTGATTTTTTTTTTTTTAACGTGTTGTTACCTTTACCAGTACACTTGATTTTTTTCAGTGGATTTGAATTACTCTCTAGTTAGTGTCCCTTCATTTCAACCTAAAGGACTCCCTTTATAGGATTTATTGTAGGGAAGTTCTGCTAGTGACAAATTCTCTGTTTTTGTTTATCTTGAAATGTCTTAATTTTTTCTTAATTTTTGAAGGAAATTTTTGTTAGATATCTGCTACTTGCTTGACAGTCATTTTTATTTCAGCACTGAATATGTCATCTCACTGCCTTCTGGTCTTTGTGGTTTCTGATGAGAAATAGGCTATCAATCTTTTGGGAGGCCCTTTGTGAATGACAAGTCATTTCTCTCTTGCTGCTATCAAGATGTTTGGCTTCTGGCAGTTTATTATGTGCCTTGGTGTGGATCTATTTGAGTTCATCCTGCTTGGATTTCAGGGAGGTTTTTTGACGTGTAGATCATGTCTTTGGCCATAATCTCTTTAGATACTCTTCCTACACCTTTCTGTCTTCTCTCTCCGGAATACCCGTTATGCATATGTTAGTACACTTGATAGTATCCCACAGGCCTCTGAGGTGCTGTTCATTTTCCTTTGAACATTTTTCTCTGTGCTCTTCAGATTTGATGACTTCTTTTGGTATGTGTTCAGGTATATTGATTCCTCTGCTATGTCAAATCTGCTCCTGAGACTAGTGAATTTTTTTGTTCTAGTTATATTTTTGACTTTAGAATTGGTCTTTGGTTCTTTTTTGCAGGTTTGTGTTTTTCTTTTGTTTTGTTTTACTTACAGTCCTTGTTTGGTGAGACATTGTTCTCATTCTTTGGTTCTTTGAAGATATTTAAAATAACTGATTTAAAACCATTTCTAGTACATTCAATGTCTTGTTATTTTTCAGGAACAGTTTCTGTTGGTTGCTTCTTTTCTTTGTATAGGGTCACACTTTCTTGTTTCTTTGCATGTCTTATCATATGTTGTTGAATAATGGGTATTTAAAATAATATGGCAAAAAAAAATAAAATAATATAATATGGCATCTCTGGAGAGCAGGTCCTTGCCTTCCCTCCCCCAGGTTTGTGGTTGCTGTTTGTTATTATTGCAGTTTGTTTATGTATTGACTTGTCTGACATAATTCTGTGTTCTTTGTTGTTTGTGGTCCCTGAAGTCTCCACTTGGTTAGTTTAGTGATCAGCTAATGATTGGACTGAGATTCCTATAAATACCTTGAAGCAGGAAGTCTCCAGGTCTTGCAGAGGGGCACTGTGTGCATGTTGGGGCATGCCTTCAGTGCTTTGCTGGGCATTTGGCAACCTTGTCTTAGCCTTCACTTCCTTTCTGTGAAGAGCATCAGGGTCGGCTGAAGACGGGAGTTGGGGCCTTCTAAGGTCTTTCCTGAGTGTGCATACAGCCCTGCACATGCATACTGCCTTCTAGATTCCTAGGAACATGTCAGAGCTTTTTATAGCCCTGTATGGGCATCTCATTCTCCAGTTTCTCCTTTTAAGTTTTTTTGGCCTGTTTCTTATTTGTACCAGCTGCTGTCACTGCCTTAGGTAACTTTGACGCTAAACAGTTGCCACTGATTGTTTTCTACAAATACCCTATGGAAAAAGCTGTTTACAGTGAGGGGGCTCTGAGTCAGGTCTAATAAAGACAAGGCCCGTAAGCAGGGGTTTTCCTCAGTCATTGATCCTCCAGGTTGCTGCCAGACAGGTCAGATAATGACAGATTTCTAAGAAAAGAGCTTCGGGTAGGTTGCAGACACAATGGTGGTCAGGTCATGGCTACCCTGACTTTAGGGGGGTTGGTTTTCAAGGAGTCGAGAAAAGTGGATTGGATATATGGCAAATTAAAATGCCACAGAGCTTGATGTTTTTATTGAGATGCAACTATTTTTCCAGAATGAATGTTCATCAGATTATTGCAAGCTTTTGGTTAATTTTCAGGTTTTATAAAAGTTGATCTTGAAAATTACTGCTTATATGGAGAAGCAGATTTTTGGAGATTCTCACCGCACCACTTCCACTGACATTATACCCACACAGACGATTCTCATGCAACCCTGTGTATCATAGATGTTACTGATAAATAAGGTGTGTCGCCATCTGACTTCTGGTACATCAAAACTGATGTTTCGTGAATAATAATAATATAATGATAATAGTATATTAATCATTAATACTAATAATATAATATTAATTATCCATATTATAATATTTGTTGTTGTTGTTACTATAGCCCTAGATATTAAATATACCTTACTTCCCAAATGTTAAGTTTACTTGCAGTCAAAGAAGCATAGTGTTGTCTTTTAAATGTGTGCCCTGAGGGTAGGCCCAGGAAACAAAAACTTGCTGTTCCCGCTATGGCTGCCCCTGCCTCGTCATGAGGTTGGCTTGGCCTGTGGAGGATCTGTGTCTCAACCACCAGTGACAAAGCTAATAGCCATAAATCAAAGCAAATCGATGCATAAATGCAGAATTCAAGTAGTAAAAATCAAGCGTTAATTATTGAAATCCTGGCATTTTTGTGTTTCGTGTTTTCGGAGGAGTATAAACTTTCCTTCCATGCTATTAAATTCATGTTCCGCTCTTGGACATTAAAGCCGCGGTGACAAAACAGTTTGTTAATTTGAACCTGTCAGACCTGGGACAGGGTCTCACGTACAGTAAGAGTTTGCTAGTGACAGAATCCAAGAAAGAGTCCCTTTCTTTTCTTTTTTTTTTCCTTAATTTTTATTTTCAAAAGAGAGTCCTTTCCTAAAACAAAGCAAAAGTAAAATGAAAATAACCAAGATGCAATTTGATGATTTATTGTTTCTAATACATGCCAGGAACCAGATATATTCTAATAGGGCTACTAGAATGTACAATGGACCCTGGGCTAAGTTTCCAGAGACGTTTCTGGTCAAGGTGTCATTGCAGACAGGAGGTTGGCGCCGTGCACTCCAGCGCTGCTCAGACACAGTGGCCATTGTTGCTCTGGCTAATTACCGGTCTGCTCCGCTCGGGTCTGCGTGGATGTTACAAAGGCAGTTTCTGCCACACAGGCTCTTTATTCATGTAATAATTACGGCATATTTGTCTTGAGTATTTCGCAAGTGTTCTCTTTGGATAATACTGGCAAGATTAAGTAATAGTTTCTCGCTAACATTATTGCTCAAGAACATCAAACACGATGGGCTGGGATTTGATGTATTATACGTACGTCTTTGGCTCCTGGCGTCTTCGATTCTTTTGCTTTTCTTTTCTTACGTATAAAATAATCTTACTGTGGGGCTATGGCTATTGTTTCTAACACAAATGCCAGGAATCACTTAGCAGGATATTTTATTTCAGTTTTAATGGGTGGTTCTCATAAGGATCAAGAGTAACACATTCAAGTCGGCCACAGCACTGGGCCAGAAACGAGGGTTCTTTTTAGAACTCTGAAGGAACTGAAATTTCTATTTCTATTTCTCCACATTATCCAACCCAATTATTGGCAATAAGTGACTGTTGGCAGGAAGCGCCTGTCACGTGTTTCCAGTTCTGCTTCAGAAAAGGTCAGCAAGAGGCAGAAACGCTGGGCGCTGATCCCCTGACTTGCGCTCCGGAGCATATTATGCAATGTTGCGCTCCCTGATTCATGGCCGCTTGCACAAGAAGTTTTTCATTACCCCAAATGCAAGCATCCTGGGAATGATTAACTTTGTGACATAACTCTCAGCACACAAGTATGAAAGATTCAAACAGAGCTTCAAAATAACATGCTTCAGAAATAACCAAATGTGTTTTGGCGTCTTAATGGGTACATGACTAACAACTGTTTTAAAGCCACTGAGTGAAAGGGAGAAACCTATGTGAGGGTTTGTTTTTTGTTTTTTTGGGTTTTTTTAGGAGTAGGAGTTTCATGAGGTTGGTTCGTGCGTAAACACTCTTCTACCATATTTTAATTTTACCTTTACGTACTCTAGTTTGCCATGAAAAATGTAGATCTATTTTAGAGTGCTCCGTCTTGTGACCTAAACAGTGACGATACTGTTGCTGCTTTTTTTTTTTTTTTTTTTAGTTTGACACAGAGAGAGACAGCGAGAGAGGGAACACAAGCAGGGGGAGTGGGAGAGGGAGAAGCAGCAGGCTTCCCACTGAGCAGGGAGCCTGATGCGGGGCTGGATCCCAGGACCCCGGGATCATGACCTGAGCCAAAGGCAGACGCGTAACGACTGAGCCCCCCAGGCGCCCCGTTACTGTTGCTTCTTTGAAACTTTTTTTGGGCCACAGAGCTGGAACTCTCCTGTGCCCGTGCATGATGGACAGGTAGTATGACAGTTGCTTCTGATTTCAGGTGACTAAAAAGGTAAATTAGAGTTCTGCCTCCTGTTAAATGCTTTCAAATCTTACCAGTTGCGTGCAGTCTGAAATGCTTGGTGTAGTAGGACTTTGGTTGTGAGTGGCAGGAAATCAACCAGGGTAGCTTAGGCGAGAGGGAGCTTTTTGACTCTCAGCATGGCATGTGGGTGGGACAGGGAAGCGGCATCCTCGAACACCCCTGGAGCCAGGCTCTCAGCTGCAGGGACGGGATGCACTCCATGTCTTGTCACATGTTCTCTTGCATGCAGCCTCATCCTCTGGGATGGTCTTATCTGCTGGCTTCACCCGATGGCAGCTCCCAGCTGCCTGGCTCACCACTGGGGAGGAAGGAGGATTCTTTTCACTCAGCTCCAACTCAGAACTTCCCCAGAGAGGATCACATGTCCTCCCCATGGCTGTGGGAGTAGGCTCTATGATTGGAGGGTGACTTTTCCAACAGAAGGGAGGACCCCCAAAATCATGGCGGCCATGATGGCCAACCTTGACCGAAACAGTTATCCTTGCCCCCAGATGGCCCCCGCCGGCCCTACGGTACTGCAGAGTTCTGCCCAGCAACCGAGCCCAGCTCTGGGCTCATCCACTGATCTTGAGGCCGGGGTCGCTCTGCAGAGTCGGGTAGGCTGTGGCCTCCATGCTGTTCAGCCATCTCAGCACCCCGTGCCAACAAGGGAGGGAACCTGTTTACAAACAGGGATGAAGCACAGTGAGCTCTCTGGCTCCCAAATAGTCCATGTCAGAGGAAGGGACATGACAGGACCAGTGGATGTCAGA